CAATATTTGTCTTTCATTTTAAAAAAAAGACAAAACCAATAGTATGTACTAGAAAGCTTGAAATAAAATATTACGTTTAGTGCATATACCTGATCCAGATTTTGAGGTAAAACATCACATTACGAGCCTTCCTTATTTATTACAACGTAGAGATTTTCTAAAATTCTGGAATAGAAGTACTATTCTAATTTTTTAAACAGAATTAACTTGAGAAATATGCCCTTCATTATATTATTTGATCATAGTTTAATACTCAACAGATCTTAAACTCCGCTAATTAATAAAACGAAAGCAATAAATAAAATTTTCCTATTAATTAGCACTGAAATCTAAGTGTCACACTACGAGTGTCAACGTACGAACTTTTCTAATGAATTAGCACTCGAGATTTTTACTTCGTTTAAAATAAGAATGTCCAAGATATGTAAAAAGCTATGTATTTAAGATAAAGCATCACATAAGGTAGTTAAAAATTCCAACACAATTCGTTAAAAAGAAACAACATGCAATTAACAACGATAATTTCAAGATACATGTAAATCACGTACATGATAAATTATATTTCTTTTAAACATCAAGAAGAGATGGGTAGAAAGCACTTTTTCTCAGAAACTAGTAAAGGAACTGGATTTATATAAAGTTTGAAATGAATGAACGCTAAAGCGGCAAACAATAAATACGAACCAAACAAAGAGGCAGATATAAAAGAACAAGATCAATCCCATCCGTTATCTCATTAAAATTTTATGTTATCATTAACAGGGATAGAATATATTTAAGAACTTGCTAACAAAGCTCCCTCTCCATGTTCCTTTATTCTGAAATTCAGAAATGCATTTTATAAATCTCCAGATCTAGAAAATACAATAAAATTATAATTAAGCAAGAAATAAACACAAAATTTATCACAGTCAATATCTCCCTTATATAATTTTACGATTTAAATAAACTCAAAAATAATAATAAAAAGAATGTTTGCAAACAATTTTCTACTAACACATATATTAAGCAAAATGCAGTGAAGTTCGGAAGTTCTTCACTATAAATGTTATGAAAAAGTGAAATAAGCATCAAGAATTCATGTCGTAAAATGAATTTATGTAAAAAAAAAAAAAAAAAATGGAGATTCAGATACATCAATCCGGGGAATCTTCAGCCTTCGTCCTTATGCAATTTAAAAAGTAAAATAATAAAAGGGAAAGTTTATGATTAAGAAGTACGACCAGAAAAACCATTCTCCACCAAGATTTGACGCGCCAAGTTACAAATATGTCGAAATCGATCTGGTCCGAGATGTATACCTCCGTACCAGCGGGTAATGATCACTAGCACATTTTTGGCTTTCATCAATTCCAGTAAATTCAATAATTTGGCACCCGCACCGATCTCACCATCATCCTAAAAACATACTCGAACTATTGGAATAATCAGCATACTTTATGAAGATGACAAACAGATAATTTCGTTAACATAGTATAATTATACCTAAATTTGCTGTACATTTTTCAGAATCATTCGTTCCACCAAATGTTCCATTTTCAGTGAGGGACATCAAAAAAAAAAAAAAAAAAAAACTCAAAGTGGTTAAAACCAAATCGGAAAAAGGACAAAATTAAAAAGCTTACATTGCAGTCATGTTGTTTTATTAAGCGGCCACTTACATTTTCTTCAATTAACCATGCATACATATTGTGTGTTGCTCTTGCAATTTTGTTGTTTTCCTTCAACTTATTAAGCACAAGTGTAACCTGCCGAATGAAAAGATTTGGAAAATAAATAAATTGAAAAATTATTTTAAAACAATCAAGCATATAACACGTGTCACATATGTCGATAGATGAAATCAACATCCTTACAAACCGTAATTCATCGATGAAATGAAACAATTACTGATAGTTCAGCGTTTTGGAAGAAACTACGAATGACTATTTATAATGATGAACAGAAAATATAAGAAATCGAACATATGCATCGAAAAAGAGTATAAAATTCACTTCATTTTTGGAGAATACTTGTGCAACATGCGCTTGAAACGTGCTTTTTCGATCAACCATTGAATTACCACTGATTATGGTTGGAATGCATGGTTGGAATGATGGTGGTGAGACAATTGTACTAAGAGATGAGGACTCATATTCATCAATTGATTTCTCCTTCATGCTATTATCAAAATCAGCCAAATAATCATTCAGATATGTGATCCACTCATACAAAACCGGTTGGCCCACATTTTTTGCATAAATTTCATTCATCGAATTTTTGACCTCTTCTTTCTGGTTTTCTGTTAATGATGGACCGCTAAGTTCGAAATATGGTGGTGAACTGAAGTTCAAAAATCATTTGTCATCTACATGCGTACAATCCATGGATTTATCATGAAGAAATTGATCATCCAAAAAAGTTAACCGGTTTTTTAGTCTAACACAAATTTTAACATGCGCAAATCTAGTCTGATAAATTTACCTCCCCGTAGATGACAGAAAAGGAAAGTAGCTGCGTCAAAAAATTCCTCCAACCATGTCTTTGAAATAGAGAATTATTTAACGGGTGTAAGTTACCTATGTAAGTCAAGGTAAAAGATTGAACTGAATTATCTAAATTAACTCAATTTGACACATAGCTCAATTACTACTAAAATAGTAGTTCTACATGAACTGTTATAAAATTTCACCTTGTTGGATAATGTTTAGGAAGGCAAATAGTCAATCGTACATCATTAAATCGTACACTGAGTTGTGAAGATGATTCAAAATGAATTAAATCACCATATATCGATTCGATAGATTGAATTTCTTCAAGCTGTGCTTTTCTATCACATTCGCCCATTCACGTTGTTTAGCCGTTTATAAGGTAACTGACTATCACATTACTGTTATGCACAACAACTGGTAATGCCACCAAATTTTTTTTTGGTTGAAATCTAAAACTTAACTCAGTGAATTCATCATAAAGTAACAAATGAAAAAAAAAAGCAAATATATGAGCATTAAATAGATGTCGCGTAATGTCACGTAATGTGTTGGCTAAACATAAGTGCAAATGTATGATATGCCACCCAACGTACAAATCACAGACTTTGTATGAACATATCAGAAATATGAATATGTCAAAAAGTAAACAATGACATAACAGATAACCTAAATACTCAAAACATTAAAACTCACCCGGAAAGAAAATCACAAAATAACGAAAAAAAGCCGAATTTTGGAAACTTGGAGTGGCGCGCTATGCAACAGTCATAGACCCATGCCGTTTGTTATTCTTAACTGTAGCACAACAAATGGCATTCATATTTTAAAATATTAATCTTGAAATGCAGTTTAGAATGAAATTTTAAGTTAGATATTTGTTGCATTGAGAATATTCAGACAGAAAAACGAATTAAAAATAAGAAATGATAGGGAGAGATGACAAAGAACATGTTGTAATGATATACTAGAAGAAAAAGGAGAGTGAAATAAGATTATGGAAGAGTTTGTATCTTTATCCGTTTATTTATCTATTTAACAAATATCTACAAAAATTGAAAATACGCTTAAATATGTGTAAATCACAAATACATCATATCATATTCCTAAAGAAATTGTTAGAATATAAATGAATACAAAATAAGGAGCAAACAAATTTTGCAATAAAAAAATATTAAAATAAATAAAAATTTTGATTTAAATGTTTGTTGGCTATAAATTAATTCACCTTTATGAAATTTGTAAAAACTTCACTTACCTATGGATTATGGAAGTGATTCGATATGATGCACAACTGATAATTCTGCAGATCTCTGCTTCAATTTTTTTCATTATAAAATAAAAAAATAGTTAAATCTTTTTCAGTTCATCCAAAAAACAATTAATTAACACAAAGATCTATGTCTCTAATATTTTTTGGGCAAAGTAAAATTCGAAAATTTACAAATGGAGCGCTTTCGTCATCATAGCGCTTTATTGAAATGTTTGTTAAAAAGACAAAATATCCACCTCTTAGGGTATTTTTAACTATGAAATAGTAGTGAAGATATTAGAAAGTGACCGAAATTTAGGAAATTCCAAATTATGTAATTATAAATGAGTTAAAACTCATGAAATTTCATTTAAAGTTATTTAATGTATAAGTATATATGATTTATAATGCTTTATTACCAGAAAGAAAAAGGCAAAAGCAAAATTCGAGAATTTAAGAATGAAGCGCTTTCGTTTTCATAGCGTTTTATTGAAATGTTTATTGAAATAATCAAAGTGAGAAAATTCATGCCAAAAATAATTCAATTTCTATAATCTTCATCTTAAAAAAAAGAAAAAAGAAACGAAGAAGAGAGAGAAAAAATAATGATAGTTACTTATTTTGCATTTTTAGTTTATTCACTAATGAGAAATGATTAATCAATAATTATCATTCGTAATAAATAACATCCTTAATGATGTAACAGCATGTGGTAAAGTTTATATAACAACAGTATTAGAAATATGAAAAAGTAAAAATTTACACAATTTTAATTAATATTTATGATTCAGTTCTACACAATTTTTATTTGCATTTTCAATTAATAATAGCAAAAAAAAAAAAAAAAATTAACAAAAATTTGAAAAGAAAAGTATTAAAATATAAGAAATACACTTCAAAAACACATTACAGTACTGATTTTTAAACTAAAAAAAAAAAATGTTTCACGTCATAATTTATCATTTTATCCAACTAAAATGTCTCATATTATTAAATCAAAATAAGTTATTGAGGTCGAAAGAGATGAGAAAAATAATATTGCTGAATATCATAATTGGTAAATGAAACATCGTTTCGCATTTCTATATTAAATTGAATTTAATGTTTTTCTTCAAAAATAATTGAAGCAAAAAAAGGAGAAAAATTTATAGTAATTAGACAAGTAAGTAAGCAAGCAAATAAATAAAAGTATGCACATCTATACAGAAGATTTGCAAATATTTATTAAATTAAATTTATAACAAAAAAATGAAAAAAAAATAAATCAAATCAGGTTACAATTATTTAAAACCTAAAAAAGGCCTAATAGCATTGTAGTAAATAAGCAAAAAATCTTTCACTTGTTCATTGTCAAAATATCCCTCGTGCCGACAGGTACTGCATAAAAAATCAGGTGGAAATTGTTGTTTTGGAAATTCAGGATCTTCTGTATCCTGACCGCGAAGACGAGCATTAACGATATTGTGTGCTTGCCACAAATACATGAATGTATCTTCCGGTTGATGCACCTAAAAATGTTTGCACATAACATTTTTACTCCTATTACTATGGCTATCGTTATTATTAGTATTATAATTACTATTATTGTTATTATTATTATTATTTCTATTAATATTATTCCATCATTATTATTGCTACTATTACTGCTATAATAATAATAATTATTATTAATATTATATTATTTTCCATTATTGATTATTTTCTTTTCTTTAAAAAAATAATGTACTAGTTTGATTTCTGCTTTTTAAATGATAATATTTGTTAATGAATTTTACAATTGTAATGAACAAATTTTACTAATAAAATGTGCAAAGTTTTCGAAATTGTTAACTTATACTTATTTGCTTTCTGCATATCCCTAATTAAATGAATTTTAGTTTTATTTCTAAAGATGTAAATTGTGCATTCATAATAATAATTAACAGCAATATGGAAAATGTATCACTTTTAGATGTATTAATGTATTAACTTGAATAATTATACTGAGTTATAAATTATATTGTTTATAAATACACAAATTGTACTGAGTGCATTATATAATTTTTAGATGAAAACTCAGCATGAATTTAAATAGCAACATAAAAGATCTAAATTTATTTCTATGAATATTTTTCAAATCTCTCCAATAAATATTTTGAAACTCTATCTTTAATTCAATTTATTTCTTACACTGTTATTATGAACTCTGTTATCCTTCTTATTCATTGAATTAAATTACTGCATAAAGTGATCATTCATTTCATTCATCTCAAAAAGAGCTTTTTTTTTTCTCTCCCTCATCTAATTTTCTTTGTATGAATACTTTTTCAAATTCTTTCGCATTTAATATTCTAAATTTCTACTAACTTGACTTTCCATAGGAAATGTTTGGGTTGTCATTCGAAGAAAATGTTCACGACAATGCTGACAACCGAAAAAATTGTTTATCCAATTTCGAATTGCTACCAGTGGAGTTATTGGAACAAATTTCGAATCTGAAAGTATTCCTAGATGTATTAATGTATCAAATTGAATACATTATATGATTTCTAATAATATAACCTTCACCTCTAACATTTGTTTGATCATATATATAATGTAGACAAAAAAGCCAAGCAAACAAATAGTTAGTATTTCTAACCATTTAAACCATTTTTATAAGCTTGAACAGTAAGTGCATGAAATGTTGTCCATAGGCCACAAGAATAGCCTCGAAATTTTGGACTTGAACCAGCACAATGTTCCCAATCAATTTCTACCGGAAAAGGATAACTGTTCTCTGCCTGAAAAATACTTCACTAATAATGCTTAATTATCATTGAAAAGTTTATCATCAATAATCAAATATTTTTATAACCAAATATCAACCACATTTATATGAAATAATTTTTTTTATTACTTAGCAAATATTTCAAAATTTTCTAATTTGATTTTTAAATTCTTGAATGTAAAATGCAATCAAAAAATGGCAAAATGATAGCACTTTCACCATTTTTCGTTTTAAATTTTTTCTTTCTTAACTTTAACTTTTAAGTTCCATAAATAAATAAATAAATATATATATATATGTATATATAACAGAATAATAAATGAAAAACGAATAGGTCTTACTTCTAAATTAATGAATTTTTTCTTATATTCCTTAATTGGAATCACATCTTTCATTCCCTTTTGATCTAAATAATTGCGCATTTTCTCGAACAAATGAACTGCTCGTTTGCTTTTCGATAATTGCTATAATAATGAAGTAAATTGCATAAATAAATTTAAAATTGATAAAAAAATTGTTTCTCATTAATTCAATTTTTTAAATTAGATTTATTCAATAAAAATTGTAAATATCTTCCAAGAAAAATTAAATTTAAGTAATTTTTCCATTTATTATGAATTTGTGTTTACAACAACTATTTACCTTATTTTCGTCAGTAATATTATAATAAATTGTTTTTGTTGGAAAATTCTGAAATAACATTTATTAATAATTTAATTATTTTCTTTTTTCTTTTAAAAAATTTTTTATTAAAAAAAAAGGTTAACAATGTTTTTTTTTTTTTTTTTTTTTTTTAAAGATATCAGTAATTGTAGAAAAATCGTTGTGCAAAACTATGCAGTGGAGTTTAAAAAATAATTTATAAATATTTAAACACTTCAGTAATCAATAAAAATTAAGAAATGCTTTCAGAAAAAAGGGAAAAACTAAATAACTATAAGCAAAACCCTTGTTAAACAATTCTACTAGTTAATTTATTTCTTCACTTTCTTTTTTTTCGAAAGAAAAAAAAAATGGAATTAAAAATAATTTGTGAGAAGAGAAATAAAGAAATATATATCCCTTTCCCTCTTCCTCTCCCTCACCCTTTCTCTCTTTATATATATATTTAAAGAATACATAATAAATTCTTATTGCTAAATTATAATTACCATTACTTAATTACTCTGGTGATAAATGATGATAAGTTAGAGTAACCTTAGCAAGTACATCGTAGAAATCACGAATGGCTGTTAGATTATTGCCCATAAGGTATTTACCACTTCGTGTTACTTCATCAAATAACGCATATCGCATAGCTTTCAACATATCTGCTTCAGATACGAAATATTTTTGACGACACCTGCATTAATTAACACTATAAAAATAATGTAAAAAATTATTTCAACAATAATTTCCTTATTTTCTCGAAAAAAAATTTTTTTTCGGTATTTTAAAAATTTACTTTACAATATCTTTCTCGCATATTGATTGATTTTGCACAGTATTTTGTATAATTTCATTTTTGCTCTCTTCATTAGTCAGAAAACTTTCCAATTCATTGAAAAATAGTCGTCGCAACCTAAATTTATCATTGATTTTGAAAATAAATCTTATTTGATCAATTTTTAAAATTATTGCTGAAAACTGACTTAAAAAAAGAAGCAAAAAAGTGGAAATGCAAGACTTATTTTCTAAAAGCTATTCAAAAGTTTATTATTTATTTTTGTTAACTTTTCAACCTTTTTATTTTGTTTTTTTTTATTTTCAAAAAAAAAAAACAAAAAGTTTTCTGCTTTTTTTTTTTTTTTTTGCTTTTTACTTGAACGTAATTACAAAGATTGATAAATGTATTTTTCTAAATAACATATTTTTGCAAAAATTTTTCCCATAATGTGAATCTTTTCTACAACTTTTACAATTACAATATAAATTTTAAGAAAAAAATCAAAAATATTTTGATATTATTTCAATAAAATTATATAATGTAAACCATAAAAATTTTAAACTTTATAAATAAATCACTCTTAATTATTAGTTGTTTGGAAAAAATTAAGCTAACAATTAAATTTCAAAAAGAAATCTTCAAAAAAATTTTTAAAAATAAATAAATAAAAAACTCACTCAGCGACAAACAATGGTTTCATTTGTTCACGCTTAAAAATTGCCATTGATGGAAAATTTTTAATATATAAGGCATCAACAAGTGAATGATTCTTTAAACATCGTCGTACTGTCAAGCGATTATTGTATTTAATCACATCAAGTATTAACTGAATTAGTAAAAATTTAATTAAATCAGTAAAAATTCAATTAAAATAAATTAAAACACAACTAAAAAAAGCAGTGAAAAACGCTGCAGAAAAAATTATTGGTAAAAATTATTAGCAAAAATAAAAATTTTTGTATTTATGAAATACTTATATAATTTAAAGCATCTATGATAACTTTTTTTCTACTATAAATATTGCTTTCCGATATTTTGTTACTAATTAAAATCATCGCATTTTATGTTTAATTATCATTGAATGCAATCAATTAAATTAACTTTGCATGTCCTTTTTTTTTGCAGAAATATTTAAATTTTGGATTTAATCCTTTAAAAAAGACTTCAAAAATAATAATATTATCTTTTTTGAAACTCGTTCTTCTTTTCGTTTTATTTTAAATTATTTCTGCTTATCAACAAATCATATTACTTTAGTAGAAAGAAAAATTATACTTACTTGTGCACCAGTAAGTGATTCTACTCTTTCTTCAAAAATAATTACCAGCAGTTGCACTGACTTATCAAAATCACTCCACAATTCATTATATTTTTCAAAGCTAAAACAGAATTTTTTATTTAAAAATTATGAATAAAAGATTTTTGTTTTATTTAAATTAATAATAAGAAAACTGAATAAGACCTACAGGGAAAAAAAGTAGTATTAGACGTAAATATGAAACATTACAGTAGAAATGGTATTAAACGTAAATATGTGAAAACATAATGGTATTATTTTTTATGGTTACTGAAAAAAGAGATGCTAATAATATTTTATACTTTCGTAAAAAATCAAAATTTGGCCAGTTGGATGGTCGATTTATACTGTAATCGAGTAAAATCATTTCAGTGATTAAATCACGCATTCCACGGACTGATTGTAACGTTTCAATTGGTATCGCATTGTTTGGATTGCTTGAATTTTGTGGGAAGTACTGTAACAAATAAACTTTATCTTTAAATTAAAAAATAATTTCACTATAATATAAAAAATAATGCAGAATGGGACGATTCACTTTTTTCCAGCAAATTTTTTCTTGTTGGAAAAGAATGTATTTAACGCAAATACGCGGAAACGTAATTGTATAATACATTATCAGTGTTAGAAAAAAAGAAATGATAATAACCTTAATATATGGAAAAAATAAAACATTATTTGTTTGACATGCAATTTCATTAAGTGGATCAGCGCAATTTATCGCAGCTAATTGAACCATTTTATTCCATCCGTGAAGATCACGAGCTAGTGATTTGTAAGTCTGCGCATATGTGCGGCAATGTCCGCACCAATCTAAGTAAAACTGAAAAATTACTGAGTTTTTTTTTTTTTAAAGATTTGAACAACTTTTATACTTTAAATTTTGGAAATTTTTTTTCCGACAAATTACAAGAAAAGAATGACATTTTATTAAATCAAATTTACGTAAATTACAAATAATGTCCGTTTTCTTTTTTATATCCTTTATTTTTCTTAATATTTATTATTTCAAGTTCATATAAAAAATTCAATTTAAAAACTTAATTTAGCTTATAAAAAAAATTTAATCTTTTTTAAACAAAATCTATTTTTTTTGAAATTAAATTGAAATCAGTCATACTTTTTGAGGCTATTTCGAATTACAAACAAACAAATAAAATCAGTCAAATTAATTAGATAAAAAAAATAAAATAACATCCGCTATTATTATTATTTTATGAAATAATTATGGTGATATAAACTGAATTTTTTTCCATTTCATAATTTTGTTGTAGAAATCTTTAATTTTAATACGTCACACCATAATTTTTAGCATCTTGATTTCAATTAATTATAATGTCGAAATTTATTTCTTTTGCATTTGCAAATTAGCAAAAACTTCAAATTTTTTTGGTAGAAAACTTATGCCAGTCCTACTAAAATATTTGTTTGATTATTATATATTTTGCAGAATTTAATATAAATTATCACATCAATTTGCATAAATGACAGTGGCTAATTTAAATGATAAATGCTAATATATGATGACTTAATAATAGCATTATTAAAACTTAATTTGTATCAAAAAATGTTTTCTCCTTCAAAAATCTACTGAATATAATAATAAAAATAAAATTGGATGGAATTAATTGCTATTATGATAATATTTTATCCAAAAGTTTTTTTTTTATGATATAATCTTCTAAATTTAATCAATGAATATTTTTATTATTCTTCTATCGAACTGCAAAATTCACTTCTACAACATAAGCAGTGCAATTATTATCATAATCAGCTGATGATAATGATAATGGTGAATGTTGACAAAAGACTGTGTCATTGAAAGTCATATCATCGAGTTGTATGATCAAATCAGTTTTCGAATTATACAAAGTTGGATTGAGTGCAGTTGGTTCTCGTCCCATAAATGCAAATTCGCTTGATGCAAATTTGTCAAAAAAATTGGGCAGAAATGCTAGTAATATATTCAATAATAGAATCATTCTGAAAAATAAAAAATTTTAAAATTCAATGAAAGTTAAATCTTTTTATAAATTTTTCATGGAAACTAAAATATATTTGTAAATATTGAGAATGATTAGTTATAAACTTAATAACTGAAAAAAGGAAAAAATAACATTCTAAGGCTAAATTAAAAAAAAAAAAAAAAAAATGCAACATTCTAACTGATACATACATTTTTTTTCTTTCTGCTATTCATCTCATTAAAATTTTTGCTTCAAAATTGAAAAAAAAAATGCAATAAAATTCATTTTTAAACTAAAATTTTGCACTTTTTATCATAAAATTAATTCAATTTAATTGAATAGACTTTATGACAATGAGATATTCAAAAAATTATTTCTTAAATTGAATTAGCTGAAGAGATGTATCGTAAATAAAGTTGCTAAAAATAAGCTAAACACGTTTATTACTTTTTTGCATCAGAAGTTTTTCTTTCATTTGCAGGCATTAATTTCCAATTAAAATTTAAAATGACAGAATAGAATTTTGCTATGACAATATTTTCAGCATTTATTTGTGATATTCACAATTTAATTGCTTCATTTCTCATACTAACACAACTGGTTTTTTCTTCGGTAATTTTTAATTTTTTAATTGATTGATTTTTTTAACTGATTCGAAATGAATGATTAAATGATGAGAAAATCATCATACAGTGAGCAATTTTATGATAAAGAAAAGTTTGATTGACTTAAAATTTTTTTTCTTAAAAAAATTCGAATGGTTATTGTTAGCACCGAAGTTGACATTTTTTTATGCCGTTGAATTGCTTCATTTCTGATAGAATTTTGTTGATTTAAATCATTCATTTTAAAATTGTGTAAAAATCGTTTTAAGAAGAATTAAAATGTGTAAAAAATGTACGAGAGCTAGAAAGTATGAAATTTAAGCGAATTTCGGCGGCAATATTAAATTAAAATGAAAATTAACAATATTGATAATAATAATAGCAATATAATAATAGAAATAATAGTAATAATAATAAAATGTCAAACAATAACAATGATTATAACAGTAGGGAGAAATGAGACAATAAGAGTTTAAAGATTAATTGAAACTGAATTACTCATTAACTAAGACAAAAATAAAATAGAACAACGCGACATAACAGTGCATCGATATCGAAACACATAGAAATAATAATTTTGCCCAAAGCATAGGAAAAAGCATTTGATAAATGATCGTCTCAAATGCTCATAATCTGGTATTCAATTTCCCATAACTTAAAAAAAAAGAAATTAAAAAGAAACTCTGTGGAAGGTTTCCAACCGACAAAAAAAAAATTTTTAACAGAAAATTTTGTTGTAACAAAAAGAAAAAAGTAGAAAAATCGTGCAATTTTCTCTTTCATTTGATTTGATAAAAACGAGTTTTTCTCAATTTTTAACAATCAAATTTAAAATTTTTATTGAAATAGAACTGAAAAAAGGTTTTGCTTCCTGTTTTTAAAATTCGAATACAGTAATATAATAAAGCTATATCAGTCCTAAAGTAAATAAGTAGTAGAATGATGCAATATAGCATTACTGATTGACTTGTAAGAGTAACTAAGGAATTTACTAAATAAGCAAAATATGAATAAATGAGCAAGAAAGAATGGATCAAATTTTCAGAAATTATTTGTTAAGTTTACTTTTTCAGACGAGTAAAACAACCATGCATTATTTTTCGAAAATTCAAAAAAAAAAGAAATGCAATTTTAAAATTAGTAAATTGCGGGTTAAATTCCTAAAACTCATTTTTTTTAGCTGAACAAAATAGAAATCAAAAATAAATTTGATCATTTCAATTTATCTCTTTGGTTAATCCTTGACTTATTGATTAAATTTTCTTTTGCTAATTAAATTTTTTCTCTTATTTTTCAATTAGTTCAAAAAAAAAAAACAAAAAAACAGAAAAAAAAAATTTTTTTTCTACTTCATTTTTCTACTTATTGATATTTGGCGAAAACTTTATTTTATAAAGGAAAGTTTAAATATGATATGCAATAATTGACTTTTTCGAATAAAAATAAATAATCCTTTATATATGTTTTAAGACAATTTTTCCCAACTGTTCATAGCACTATAATTAAATATTTTAAAAAAATAATAATAAAAGTAATAATAATAATAATAAAACAGAAATGATAAAGATACTGAAAGAGGTAACACAAATATCGTATTTTCATTTTTTTTTTTCTCCGTTTAATTCATTTACAATAATTTGCTAAAATCGCGGCGGTATCTTTCATTATTTATATGAACAAGAAAAAAGAGGAAGAAAATTAAATGTTTATGAGATAATTACACTGTTAATAAGAATGGATAATTGATTAATGAAATACATCATTAAAACAACAATAACTTTGTTCGTGGAAAAAATTTTTTTCTTGTTAAACTTTACCAAAGAATGGGAAAATTTTTTTTTTCTCTTTTTGTGCGCTGATAAAAAATATGTACAAAAAGTTTTTCCATAACAAAAAAATCGAATATTGAAGCATTACAAGAAGATAAGCAAAGATACAATAAGTTATCATATCACACTAATCTTTTTGGTATCTTTCTAAAATACTGATATCAAAATTTTTTGATTGATGAAACATTAATAAATGAAACAGTGATAGCAAAATAAACAAAAACTTTCTTTCTTGCTTTTCATTTTGTCGTTTCATTTTTGCAACAGCTCAAAATGCTGATGAATCAGCTGATACTAACTAAACTAACTTATCAATCAAATATTTCAATAACATAGAAATGAAATGAATTAAAGTTTGCTTTTTTTTGCTGCTTGCAATTACTTTGAAACGAAAACAATGGATTTGAGGATTAATTATAAATTTAATAGAAATTGTTTGAAGTAGAATAATTGCAACTATATATGTCATTGCGTTAGTATTTATATTTTGAATAAATCAAATTCAACATTTATTGCTTAAAAGCATATATGTATGGAAAAAAATTACTGTTATTTTTATTTCTTTGTGTCGTTTTAATTTCATAAATAAATTGAAATATAAAAAATTTTACTCACTAACTTCAAAAATAAATGTCTAATTAGTATTTTATTTGTATAAATTATTTTATCCACGAAAGTGTACTACATATTTAAACTTATTTTATTGAAGGATTTTTTTGAATATAATATTTCATGCAATAATTTGTGAAAAATTAACATTAAAAAATTATTCTTTATCTCAGAATTGATATATTTTTCGAAAAATCGATTATTAATGGATAGATCGATTAGCCTTACTACTTTTAATAATATTGTAGGAAAGGGAGAAAAGAAATTGAAGCTATCAGTTGAAATGAAAATGATATTAATAAAAAATAAAATTAAATTAAAAAATGACTTATTCAATAAGTGTTTTTAATCGATTCAATCGATGGTTATGTTGAAATTTTAAAAAAATCAAAACTTTTTAATTTTTTTCCCTAATTTATTAAGTTAATAGGATTTAGAAATATTTTCGATTTTTTCCCCACTCGTAAATGAAACATTTTTTTTATCAACAAAAGGCTATTACTAATAAGTCTAAAAATGCACACAGAGAAACACTTCACAACGCACTGAATGTGAGGAAAGGATTATATAAACAGGAACTAAATAGAAAGGCAAAAATAGAAAATAAAAAACGAATTGGAATTGAATGAATGATGAAATTTTGTTTAAGTAAACAAATATATACAAGAAGAATTTTTATCACTAAAAAATGATTAAATGATAAATAAATATTATTTATTGTTGCTGTTAGTATTATTATTATTGTTGTTATTGTTGAGGAAATAATAAAAAAGCAAAAGATAGGCGGGAAAAAATAACAAATATAATGTATGTTGAATTATTTATAAAAGAGACACAAATGAAAAAAATTGTAACGTTTCAAAATATTTCAACATCCAACTACTACCAGGACCACTACCAATGAAAAAAGATTAATAGAACCACAAAAGTTAATCAAAAAGTTAAAGCATTATTAACTGGAGGAAATGCTATCTCTGGGGCACCTAACATAACAGGTAATATTCAGTTACCAAAACCACCAATTAAAATAGGATTACTATAAAAAAAATTATTAAAACACCATGTATAGTCAAAACAGAATTATAGACTTGACCACTACCAAAAAACAAATAACCACCAGGTCCAGATAATTCAAAACGAATAATCATAGATAAAAGAGATCCGCCCAAACCAGATCAATAACCTAAAACAATATAATAAGTGCCAATAGTATTATGATTAACAGTATTAATAATTCTGTGTTTTAACACATTACGAAAAGTCTTACCACAAAAAATATTCATATTAAATAACAAAAACAAACCAAAGAAAATTATAAACTATAAAACCCAATGGTAAACAAATAATAGCCCGACTGTCACAAGCACAACTAGCCTTATTACCAACTATAAAACAAACTATAACATAAACAGAATAATAAAAAGAAACTAAATAATATACAAAAAGAAAAAAAATACTAAAATAAAAAACAGAACTAAACCAATTTAACATTAAATACTCAGAAAAAAACGAAATAGAACTAGGAAACCCAAAATTAGAAACCATAGTTAAACAAAAAATCAAACAAAATGACATATTAACATTAAAATATCCTCGTAAATAATAAATCAAACGACTTCTAGCATAAAATTTACCAATAAAATAAAATATTAAAACAGAAGTATACCCATGAGACAACACTATAACTAAAGCCATACCATAATATAACATACTAATTTCAGATAACAAAACAAAACCTATATGACAAATAGAAGAATAAGCTGCTAAAGACTTACAATCACTTTGAAATATACAAATAAAAGAACAAAAAACTATACGAACCAAAGAAAAAAAAAATTAACAATATTAAATAAAATCTTTGCAAATAAATCCTAATGAAATTAGCAATTTATATGAATTATCAATTGTTTATTACTTTAGCTAAAATTTCACCTCAGCTTAATTATTTTATCTATTGCATTTGAACATTCGA